GTATTTAAATCGTACCACTTCTAAATTTCCCATTTAATGAATATTTTTTTCTACACTGAAAACGCCAAATCGTGGCCCTGTACCATCCCTCTTCACCCACTACTCTAAATCGACGTGAGTTAACAACTGTGCAAGTAATAAAAGAAAAACATTTTTTGTAGGAATTAATATAAATATTGTCGTACATTCGTAAGGAGATAACTCGTAATCAAGGGAAGCTATAGTTATTAATTTTTTTTTATTATTCCACAATCGTGTACTAGATTATTGGGGGTTTTTGTTGCATGTCTAAGTTTTGAGTTTATGCCGGATATTTGCTTTTGTTTTAGGAATGCCTTAGTTGGTTTAATCGTACCACTTGCAGTTGGTTAAATTGTACTGGTACGATCTACCCGACTACCAACCGCAAGTACCTATAGTACTACCGCAAGTACGTATAGTAACTACCCAAGGCCAAAAACAAAAGTTATAAGAGGAAACGATCTCATTCCATCACCGGTAGCGATGATTCGGGAGAGACACTTGTTGTAGAACAAGATGATGATGATGACAGCGATGATTATCTTGAAAATATATGTCGAAAGTGCAAATGTTCTTACTATGTACGATAAGAAGGGTCCAAAAGTTGATTGGATTCAATGCCTTCGCTGTAAACGGTGGCTACATGAGACGTGTACTTCGAATCCAGACACTTTTCATGATTGTTTCCATTAAGAAACATGAACAATAGTTATATTACAAATAACATTCTTGTTAACTGTTACTTTATTATTACTGTTTTTTTTTTGTCTCATTTTTATTAGTTCTGTTGATTGATCTCATTATCATAGTATAATCATGTTATTTTACTGAGAAAGCTTATAGTTCCTTTATATAACCTAACAGTTAAAAATAAATAATTTGATTGAGAATTTTAATGTCTTTCATTCAGTGGTACGACTTAAACACCCATGGTACGATTTAAAGACTTAGTGGTACGATTAAAACGACTAGTCGGCTAAATCGTACCGATGGCAAGCCTCTATAAAAAGCATTTTTAACAATGTTAGAATAATCACAAGGATCTGTTCTCTTTTTCTTAGGAAGCTAAAATATGAAACTTTATTTTACATATGTATTAATTATTATAAGACGTGTTATAGTCGAAATATTTGAGTTAAAGTGAAAAGTGGTACGATATATCCGACTCTCCCCTACATACTATTACAGTAAGTTTTATTTAAAATTATAATATGAGGAAGTATTTTGTAACGGGTAAAATGATTCTTCGAAGATAACCCTTAGAACTATTCACATTTACTGTTTTCGTCACTTGTAAGTATAAAAAATTTATATTCAAAATATATAGTCAAATGGGTAACTCTAATAAAAACAAAGAAATAGTTATTCAATGGCGTTATAGATATATTTATAGCTAAGAAAATTTGATAAACAATATACTAAAAAAGATACTTAAAAAAAATACATCCATATTACAATATTTAATATAAATTAACCTTATCCTTTTTTATGTCCCAAAAAGGTAACCAAATTACTTTTTAACTAAAACTCAATGGGCCGTATATATTGCCTTTAACAAAATAACCATTTAACCTCTAAACTAATCGGTTAAATCTTTTCATAATACGATATATATGAGATAAAGACTTTTTAACTTGATATAATATTTACCTTTTTAATTATTCAAAATTTTAGATAAAGCCAATCAAGTAATATACATATCGCTACTGCGTTTTCTATGTTGAAGGATTATCGTCCTTATGAATAGAAACAATCTCTAAAATAAAAGCAATATAAATAAAATAAATATATTATGCTTCATTTTACACCACGCATAGTACATAACAAACAGAAGGTCTAAAAAGAAAATAGTGGAGTGCAAAAATCGACCTTATCGCTTATGAGCGTTAAAGGACATATAAACGATGAAAAGAGTTTAATATGATTTGAAAATTATACAAAAACCTATAAACATAAATATATACATATCTATATCACTATAAACATGTTTACAAATTAAAATATATTTGTATTTATTATAGGGATTGATGAAAAACATTTGACGCCATGAGAGGTATCTTTGGTTGAGACAGATAGTTAAGGACGAGATTTGAATGAAATAATAAAAAATAAATAGTATAAAAATAATAAGCATGAATTATCAAATAAAATATTAAAACTGACATGTTAAAATTCGTTAGTATATCAGCTTATTAGAGACTGAAGGAGTAATGACATCTACATTGTTCTTTAGTCTTGAATCCACTATTTGGTTATATGATAACAAATATGTTGAAGTTCTAAAGAAAAAGTGCAGAGGGCGTTAGTTTCTCGGCATTTAAAAAAGAGTAACTTGGTATTTTTATAAATAATTTAATTATTAAATTTCAATTAAATGAAATATTACTGCGCGTATTATTATACATGTGTATGTACATACAGTTTTATACGTCGATCCATTGTACCAGCGCCATCTTTACTGAAAACACAGAACTATCACATCATCAAAGCCTTCACATTGATGTAACTTTTGTTTAAAGGTAGCACTAATTGACGGGTATTTAGTTAATTTGAATACACGTACACGTTCCACAGTAAAGAACTTTACCACTGATCACACAAGAAATATATTTCCGAAACAATTAGATTAAACATGATAATTATCAAAGAATAACGTAATGTGTGTTATTTTGGTTATTTTATATCGCTTTAAGCATTTCACTTTTGGTATCCATAACGTTAGAGCTCACACCATCAACTGTTGACATTGAATAAACCATCTCAGTCTCAATGTCTGAATCACTTTTCCCTGTTGGCGGGAACTATGCACTTTCGTCATCCGTCCCTTTCAGTCCTTCTAAATAAATATATATTTGTCTCACTCCAGTCGATTAACGTAAAACCATTACAGTGAGAACAAAAAAGGGTCCCCTTTGAGCAAATTGTAATATATCATCGTCCTGACGTTATGAGCTTAGGGTCTTCTGTAAAATAGTTTGCTTTTGTCCCAAACAGCAAAATTTATTGGGTAACGGTTGCAGTATTTGTAACAGACAATCTCAACTCCAGGTTTGACAGAACAAAACGAACCACTTCCATTTCTTATAATGTCTTATCTCAATAAATAGAGACAGTAAACATGAACTTGACTATTTATTCTCTGTACACAATGCAATGGATAGGATATAGTGACGAAATTATAGAATTTAGATTACATTAAAACTGCGGATAATGAGATTATTAGTTTTTGAAATTAACAGCAAATAAATAGCTATAATTTTATGGATAAAATTCATTACATTTCATCAAGTATAACAAAGGTAAAGGTAAGCCGCGTATGGTTTTGAATCACACGGCCGAGACTCATTTATCACTTCATAACAAAAGATCAGCCAAGCAGCTGACTGTTGAACGAATCCAATAAAAACTTTACAAGAACGATCTGTTATTTTATTTATGATTCCGTACAAATGTTACTTGCATTTTTAAATTCATATTTTTATTAATATCTTATAAATAAAAATTTACGATAATTATGATTGAAAACTAAAGACATTTCACTCATACATTAATAATTTTACTATTTAATTTTTTATATATAGTCATTAATTTATAGGAACAAAAGTGTTTTAAATTAACATAATTAAGTAAACTTTACCGTCTATATATTGTCGTCTATTCTAAAAGCACTTGAGTTTTAATTAAATTTTTACGTAAACTTGATAGTGCCTAACTATCGTTCCTCCTGATGGTAAGTAAAAATTAACCGAAATAATTGTAGGTGGAAGAAAACACAGATGCAAGCAAACTGTTCTCTCTGAAATAAAAATTATAGTTATTATAGTACAAAAAAAACACACTACTCAAAACAAAAGTTTTTCTGACAGCTGCTTGCTATATCTTTGGATTTAAAAAAAATCTATTAAAGTTTTTCAGTTCAATATTCGTTAGGCATATAAACATTCGTATGTTTTTTAAGGTCACTGGAATTATTTTTATTTCAATTTTATAAAATAGTAAACGCTAATTCATTGGAAAAAATAAAAAAGCATTTACCTTTACTCAAAATTGCCAAGTCAAATACCCAAAAATACGTCAATAATTTGATAAATATATAGGTATATCTTAATGAGTTCAAAGCTAGTAAACAGTTAGGTTAACTACATCTCGACTATCTTGCGTAATAAGTTGTGGTCACGTTAATTGAAAATACCCAAATTGTTAGAAATACATATATATTACTTTATCTAAAAAGAAAAGATATATAACTTCAAAGGCATGTATCTTAAAGTAACGAATTGTTTAATGTTCAATTTATTTATTAATGTTAAAACAATATATCCAGAAATTGCATAATTAAATTTTAACTTACTAGAAATTAAAATCATATTACTTTTATTCAAACAATTTTAGAACATTGAATTGAACATTGAATAATGTGATCTTTATCGAATACAAATAGTATATCCCGAAAATGTCTTCAAATTTACTTGCAGTAGTATAAAATATTTGTGAAAGCTTAGACGTTATTTTTAGTGCACATGTTAATGATGTATTAAAACTGTATTAATACTGTCAAGAATCATTGAAAAGTAACATAATTTACTAACATCTTTCTTTTTAAAGGCGTTCATTATCATCATTTATCCCACTTAAAAATACAGTAGCTGATAGACTTCCAAGTCGTTTAACATTATCTTATACAAGGAGTACTGACCAGAATTTTAGCTACCGATATATTTTAACCTATTATCTTGCATTTGTTTCCTATCAGAGACCCGGTATGTCCACGTTATCGTAGGCACACAAAGAAATCAGGCAAGTCTATGTGGCACACAAACGAACAAAGTCATTACCAAATTAACGACATTCAGGTGAACAAAAAAGTATTTTGTAAACAAATCTATAACTGTGCGGTCGCCTTGTTGCTCGGAGATTATTTATCAGTGAATAATAAACGGACGTTAATTAAAATAAGTGTGTTTAACGTTTAAAGTAAAATGTCCTCAAGTTCCCATTCTCCACCACAAAGTGATCAGTCAGACGAAGATTCTAAAGACTCGATTTCATCTGAATACGCTGAAGCAAGTCAACTGCACAACACCAGCCAAATAGCATTGACACAAAAAAGTTTCTACAGAGTTAACTCTTTAACATCACACGGCGTTGAAGATATACTCTCAGAACCCAATAGCTACAACACACAAGAGAATAATTATCAAGATTGTAAAACCGAAGTGCTTTCGTCAATCTCAAATCCTTTCGTTCCAGATTATAATTCAAGAGATTCGACAGGATTTAGTATTCATGACATACTTGGTCTTCAACAAGCCTACAACGTGGCCAATACTCAAGACGAATTAGAATCCCGATATGAGTATCAAATACCGAACTATGATAATATAAGCAATAGTTCTCAAAATAATTATGGATCAGGACCTGAAGAGAGAATTCCTGACCATTCGATACCAAAGAGTGCAGATATTTTCAATGTAACCGAATCAGAACTTCGAAATGAAGTTGTGTTTCAAAGGAATTACTCAAATAACGAAACTATTTGTTGTCACCAAAGAAGTGATTTGGACAATGATGTTGTAAATAACGCTGAAAGGGAAGAAAGCGATATTAACGAATCTAGTTTTCCCGGACAGGTATAACCTTATAATTTATATTGTAGACTTTATTTTTAAAGTAATAAAGGGGCTTTTGCCAGTAACGTCAAAATTACTGTCGTCAGACTGATTTACCGCAAAATAACCGGAATCATAATGACAATTTAATATTGTTATAGATAGTGACTATTTAGATGCAACCTTAATTTTTTTTATTACTTTATTATATACAGTCTACATGAAAGGTTGTCTACAATAAAATTCATTTGGAATTTCGTGTGGTATTTCAGAATTCTTCTTGGTGTGAAAAAAACTCGCTTCTTAGTAGTCAAGTTATCAGTACGGCTTCTTCTATATCGAACGGTAAAATGCTTATTTATTTACAAATGAATTTAAACAATTACAATATTTGCTTTTTGACTTATTATGACTTTTATGTTTTGTTATTTAATATAATAATTTATTTATTTTACAGATATGTCTACCGATTCAACCTCATATCCAAAAGGTTTTACAAAACGAGCACGCACTGCGTACACAAGCTCCCAACTTGTAGAATTGGAAAACGAGTTTCATCAAAATCGTTACTTATGCCGTCCTAGAAGAATAGAATTGGCCAATTATTTGCAGCTTTCGGAACGCCAAATCAAAATATGGTTTCAAAATAGACGGATGAAATACAAGAAAGATAATAAACATAACAAACCCAGCTCGTCTGTAGACGATAGCAGTCCTACAACAAGTTCTAAGGAAATGTCTCCAACTCAGGATCATAAATTGAGCCACAGTCGTGGTTGCGGAGGTCATGACAGACATAGACGTTTACTTACCGAAAGCCATGCAAGTCATCATAAAATGTATCTTCCAACCAACGATGCTATACCAAGACCTCCCGATTATTCTTCAATTAGTCCGATTAAATCAGTCATTAAACCAAGTTCTCAGAGCACTATAGAACTGCCAGCGTATACACCAAACTTATCTTACTCGTCCTACTACACAGGAGCAAGCCGGAGCGGTTACTCACCGATATCTGAGGTTTATCGATACAACAGCGATGAATCATTGCAGCAAACTTCTCACACATTGTCGTTATTACAATCGGATAGTTACGTACCTAATGGTATGAATCTAAAACTCGCCGAAGACATGACTCGATGCCAAACTGGGTCTCCATATTATAATACGCTTTCAAACGGAGTTGTTATGCATATTCCAACTACAGATGCATATGGTTACGCCAGCACTATTCCTGCTCTTTCAGCATCTGCTTACGAAGATAATACCGTTCACACAAGATCAAGCGTATCTCAAGATCCTTACTTTGCGTATTTATCATCGACAGATACATCTAACCAACAAACAACTTCGACAGCTAACAAGTTTTCTTCGTATATTTCACTTTAAGTCTATTTTTATATACATTTTTGATTGTTTTTTCTATGTATAAATTAGTTTTAGTTAAATATTAATGTAACACGTGTTGTAGAAAAACTCCAAAAATATTTTTCATAATTTTATTTATTAATCTTAAAAGAAAAATCTTATATTTAAATAGAATACGGAATAAATAGGACTAAAATTACATAAGGTCTTTCACTAGCAAATTCTTCTAAATACCATTTTACACAACAAGTGCTAACGACAAACATTATAAACAGGTTGTTAATTGCTGTCATAAATGAAATACAATGAATATACGATAATAAATAGAATATAAATACATGATTGAGTTTATATATTAAAATAAAAAAAACTGGGATTATTCTAAAGAACATTAAAAACTGAGCTGATTTAAAATGTTTAAACGAAATCATCTAAGATATCTGTTAAGCTCACTGGTGATATTGGTTCGTACATAACTATATTTCCATGAACACTGTCATTCACAACTGTTGTTTTATTATCATAACACAAGGGTTGACTCCATGATACATCTTGAGACAGATAATCATTTATGGCATTCACTAAATCACTCATCACTCTGTCATTTAAAGTGACGTATCCGTTCTCATCCGTATTCTTATTGATTTCTGATTCGATATATGTAAGTTTATCACCTGTCATCTCAGATGAATCTTCTGATGAAGGGGAATCAGATTCGTAATCTTTGTCTTTCTTATCAGTCAAACGTCGACGATTTTGGAACCAAACCTTTATAGATTTCTCACTGACTTGCAATTTTTTCATTAACATTAATCTTTCGTCACGATTTATATATGGCTTCCTTTGAAATATTGCTTCCAGAGCAATAATTTGCTCTGTTGTGAATATAGTGCGCTTTCTCTTCTTTTTCATGTTGACTTTCAAAGAGTTACTTTTGTCTGAAAAATATAAAATAAACGTTATGTTTTCTGTAAAATTGCTGAATGTACAACATGTTATGTAATATTGTTTGTTGAATGTATTTAATCTAATTATAAATACTCACTTGAATTATAGTAATGTTGATTCCTCATGTCGACTTTACAGATAGTTGGTTGGACATAAGACATATTATGTAACATATTATTTGTATTCTGAAAATTCTGAAAAATAAGTTTTAGTTTTAGTTATTAAAATTTAAAAAACATTAAAAACTTCATTTTATTTGTATTACTTATTGGTACATAAGTGTAATTAATTTTAAATTTTACCTTATTTGATACATGATTTTGTACATATTGTATCTTATTTTCCTTAAACGAGCAAGCATATTGAGATGTCGAACTATTAGCGACCACCTGCTTCGGCCACAAATTAACATTATTCTGTAAAAATAATAAGTTTTTTATTCTTAAATTTGTATGTATTTACTTCCAAAACATACATATATGTACACTTACATCTTTAATCACAACTAATGGATTCTGAGAATTATGATTGTTGCTGCCAAACTGTGGTATTGTAGACTTAACCTGCAAGATTAAAAATATTTTATTAGATTTGTTGTTATTTCACACACGGTATGATATAATAAAACTTACTTCATACTTACATATTCCCCAACGGTGTTGTAATATTCTAAAATACTACCCGTTCTAATATTGTCACACGGGTCTTTAAAACTGTTAAAAACTGCCATATTATTTTCTGATAGCGTAATTTCTAACTTTACCCTTAAAGGCTTTACATGAAAATGATATACTTTCACATTATTCAAGCCTTTATATAGTTAAAGGTCATTAGGAACATCTCCTGGATTAATCCTTTACCTTATTGGGCCATGTATTCCTCATTAACAAATGAGTACCCGTTGCATTGTTATGTTGTTTACATCTATTTTAACCGTTACATAATTTATGATCATCTTATTTTTACTATAATAATTTGTTTTGTTAAATCTGATTTTTACAAAACAACTTAATCCTTAAAAACAATCTTGGTAGTAATTTTAATTTGTTTTCATAATACATTCTCAATATAAATGAAAATGTCTTATATATTTTGTTAACCCTTTATTGCTAATAATTTTGAATTATTCGTTCGTTTTTTGTAGGAAAATTTAATTTGAAATATCTAACTGAAACAGATTTAAAATTTAAATTTAATATTTCTCAGATCACCTTACGACTTTTTCTATTTTGTGGGTACTTTTTAATTTCGGCTCGTATCAAAAATAGCGGCATCATAAGTTACTTGTACTCCATTCAAAGCGTGCGACATTAATTGAAGTTCATTTGATTTAATTAATTTTAGTTTTTAATATGTTTCACAACGTTTTAATGACCACATTGACTCCAGTCTCTAATAAAAATGAGGTATTTATATATCTAAATTAAGCTTTAAGAAAACAATTGACTGTTTCTCAATATCAAATTATAATTTACTCCAAAGTATAATAATTATTTTAATAATATTATTATTACTTCAGATAAACTGCTGGGAAAATCAACCCTTTACCACAGTCTGGCCAGAATCGGAACAATATAAGCCATCAAGAGGTATTAAGATTTATACAAAAGTTTTGTGTACCCTTTTTGTTTTTTAATTCAGTATTTTTTTAATATTGCTTACGATAGTTAAAATAATATATTTAATAGATCTTTTGCATTCGTTTTTCCAAATTATGAAGAAGTAATATTAATCCTATAAAAATATTATTGAGTTCAGACATAACTGTCAGTACAAATTTTTAACGACTTATTTTTAAAAATTATTGTTCTCTTTGCAGATTCACATGTTACAAGGACTATTAAAAAGCGTAAACGTAACAGAACCGCTTACACAACAGAACAGCTGAGAATGCTGGAAAGAACTTTCTCGAGATCAAAATACATAGATGCAGAACGTCGCAAAGAACTTGCGGAATGTTTAAATATTGGAGAAAAATGTGTTAAAGTTTGGTTCCAGAATAGAAGGATGAAGGAGAAGAAGGAGTCATCATTGTCGAGTGATTCGTCAAGTGAATCTTGTGCTACAGAATCTATAAGCCCACCTCCAGAGAGTACAAGTGGCACAGAAAGTGAATACAACTGTCCAGCCTTTAACCATAACCCAACTCAACAGATACCCCATTATGGATATTACCAACAAAACCTTGCTTCGGAATCTCAAATACCGTATTATCCACAGGGCACGTCTTATACTCACTATCTTCCTTCATTCACAAGTGATTTTTTCAGAAATGATAGTAATATATATCCCACCCAATACTATCCTTATACTGCGCCTGAATACAATTACACAAACATTGAACAAGTTGATCAGAAACAAGAAACAGGTAATAACTGGTCGGATACTGCGTTTGAGTTGAATTTCCTCTAAATTTTTTTAGAATATCTTGTAAGTATATAATTTGGGAATTATTTATAAATTACTTTATGTAATAATATAAGCTTATTACATGGCGTTTCAATTAGTGGTTGTTACGTTAGTACGCTACTCAGTGAACTATTTATAATGATCCTTAATTAATTAAGTTTTTAATGATTTTATTTTTAATTATAAGAAATTATTTCTATGTAACATAACTATAAGTTAATATTTGAATTGAATATTTAATTTTAAATATTTGAATTTGTTGAATTATAAGTTAATATTTTTCTATTTTTATTTTCTCTTAATGCTTGACAAATTATTATTGATGTTATTTTCTATCTGTACAAATTCTTTCACTGTTTCCTAAGACATTTTATATCCTGTTAGAAGAAATGAAATTATTATATAATGTGTTTTTATTTTTTCATTTCATAGTTTACTTTTATAATTTATATTATAAGTTAGACATGTATATTATAATGGAATAAATAAATAATTAAAAATTTTAATTAAACAATATCGGTTGTTTATTTATTTACGACCATCATAAATTTCAACCTTTTTTCTCTCATAATTATAAATAATATAAACAAAAATTAATAATCTTTAATGAATCATAAATTATTCAAAATTATTACTAAAGGGCATAGTCAATATGTATTTTGGTGGTACGGTAGGTACATTGTAAGGTATATAAGGGGACATTTCCTGCGTATTATTAGTTTTACAATTACATTTACACTGATCTTTCGGAAGATTCTGCTTGAGTGGCATATATCTGTTATCATAAGTCATCATTTGCGACGGATTTATTATGTTGGGTACTACAGACAATGTGTTCACAGGTCTCCAAACTATGTTACCTGGTATAGATGGATGTTGGACTAACGGATTTACGCGAAATGCCGCATAGCTTTGATCGTTTGGTATTTGATAATAATACTGCTGGCAAACTCCTGGATTTGAAGATTTTAATTTATAGTCCATAGGATTTCTTTCTTTCACTTTCATATTTTTTAACTTCTGGTTCACTGGATTATTCCCTGCCAGTAATTTTGTTCCACATATATTTTTATGTAATAAGTTAACATTTGTTGTTCCATTTACATCTGTCGGTTTGGCTTTAGTAAGATTCGATTGTGATATTTTCACGTTTTCCAAATTCCTCCCTGCAGTACTTTGCTTTTCATGAACTGATTTAGAAAATTCCTTAGAACAATTTATAATGTTGTTGGAACTGCTAGCTGTTTTATCTGGACATACTCCCATTGGTTTCAATTGATATAAAAAATGGCCAGAATGGGAATGAAAATCAAAAGTTTTAGCGTCTATATTGTCATCAGTAAGATTTAAATTAATTTTGCTTTGTCCCTCACTCACAATGTCCTTACTAAGAGACTCCTTTTTCTCCTTCATTCTTCGATTTTGAAACCAAAACTTTACAGTCCTCTCGGGAATGTTTAATACACTTGCAATTGCTTTTCTACTTCCACTTTCGATGTATGGAAATTTTTGAAATTGTTTTTCTAAATATTTAATTTGCTCAGTTGTGAATGCACTACGAAATCTTCTAGTTTTCTTCTCATGATAATGTCTTGATAAACCCTGTAACAATGGATTTAGTATAACTACCGTACATCAACAATATTTATATATTATGTAAGTGTGTTGAATAATAAAACTTATTTTGAAAAACACTTTCCATGTTCGAAAATAAATAACACATTTACAAGTTTTTATAAAGTAATATTAAATTCTGGAGGCTCGAATACTGATGAAAAAACTTTATGGAGGAGTAAATTACTATATTAAACAGTTTCTTTTATGTATACAATCAAAATGTTGCTTTTGTTGCTATATAACCTAATTTTTCGTTCCATAAATACAAAAAACTTACAATTTCCTGTACATCATGATGTGGAAGTATATCTGGATTGTCATTTGTCTTAAATTTCTTCTCATTAGCCAACTGCTTTAAAACCGAATATTTCATTTTAATTATTCACAGAATTATAATCACCAAACAAAATTTTTCTCCCAGTACTTACAGCGAAATGCGACTAAGAATTTATAAATAATTATAACGTTTATATAAGCATAATTTCGAAACATTAATAAATTGCCACCAAATGACTTAGTTGTGGACTTGTCATTAATTAATTGTTTGAAGTAATAACGATTAATTAATTTATCATATCATATCATATCAAATATTGGAACACTCATTATAACTAATTTTATTAATACACTCCTACATTAAATATTCCATTCAAGTGTTTGATTCCATATTTACAGATATGTAATTTTAATATGGTCTTAGAAGAGTCAAAGCGGCAGAAAATCTCATTAGTTATCTTTGTGACACAGATTTTTGTAAATATATTTGTTTTCTATACTTTACTTGGCTGCAAACAACAACGTTTTATTATAACAATACAGTATTATTTTACATTTTTATTTGCTGTTGTGTGCTCTTATTCTAATGAGTTTCTATAATTATCTTATTTTTAAATAAACTGCATTCGTAAACACACAAAAACTGTTGTTTTGCATTTAAAATAATTAGAGCTTTTATTTTTTCCGTTTTATTTATTCATGATAAATATATCGAAAATATATGTTCTTATTAAATATATTCTTATTAAAAGTAGATATCGTTTTAGTTTAATTGGCGTAGTATAAAGATAACAGTAATTAAAATAAGGGCACGTGAGATAACATAATTATACGATGCGATAGAAATAAATGTAGCTTAATAGCGTTAACTATGACACCTTAGTAGAATTATTAAAGTAATATTATTTAAAAATTCTACTTATATTAGTCTTTGTAAATAAAAAGTCATCAAGTTTGTTCTATAGCGTCGACGTTCGCGGGAGTAAATTCCTCTGAAAATCACTGTGCGTAACTATTAGAAGGCCAAGTTGTGAGAATGAACTTCTGTCCATAGCAAGCGGTGCTATGATAAGAAGTTACGGATGACATCAAGTCAAATAGTTCTTTAAAACACATCTGATTATACAGTAGGTAAAACACACACAGAAACCAGATCTCTCCTGAGACTTAAGGTTCAATACCGTTAGCACGAGATCAACAACAATCCTCGCATCTCGTTTTTGGACTGAGTCAAAAAATCCTAGTCGGTGTCAAAAAATCCTAGTCGGTGTCAAAAAATTCTAGTCGGTGTCAAAAAATCCTAGTCCAGACATGAAAGTGTAGGTATTCCATATAAAGGTTAGAATGCGAATTTATACATCAGTAATATTTCCTCCGGGCTAAAGTTCTTCCTCTCCCTATTCAGGACATCGAGTTTCTTAAAGTTCAACTTGGGTTTTTCAGGTAAGAGACTCCGCTGCTGAAGTCGCTAGAGATTTCGATATCAACAAGCCCAATTTTCTCGAAAGGGGTTGAGGTCTCATGGAACTGGCACCACAGTGAACCGGGTTTCTTGATTTTTTATAACTTCATGTGCAGGTTTGTGTAAATTTAAATTCAGAACATATTCTAGGTCACCATTTATTCGCTTATAAACAATTATTTAATTTTTATAATAATGATTTTGTGTATTTTGTTTATTTATTCCTAGATTAGATAGGAATTTTTAGATAAACTTATTATTATTATTAATATTAATATTTTTTTCCTTTATATAGCCCAGTCGATTAAATCAGTTATTTTATTTATTTTCTATTCATCGTTGTCATCTACTGTTTACTGTTTCTATACTTTAAATGAAAACATTGATTCAAATTTTCTAATGAGAAATGGGTAACGAACCCATTTTTTATACAACCTAAATATAATTAAAATCTAAAATATCTATCTTTTATTATTGCTGTTATAATATAATTTACAAATTATTTATTAGGTATCCGTTTTAAACCTATTCTACCTAAGTACTAACTGCGAAAGCAAAAGGTAATTATATAGATTAATTATTAACATAATAATTAATATTATATCACACAAAATTACAAATATATCACTGCTATAATGTGTTTTAACATAATAATGTGTATTAAATGTATCAAACACAATTAATACCGATGGAAATTACAGAAGAAAAATATTTTATTCTCCCCTTTTAACTCCGTGCTTCATAAATTATTATTATCACTTTTATAGTTAGTATTATAACTCGAAAGTTCACTAAATTAAATGTAGGTTAAAAATGTAGAGTCTATGTTTTATGAAATACTTTATTAAATAAAAAAAGATATTAGCAATAACTTTGACATAATAGCTACTTATTAAAATTACAAAGTAATATCTTCAAAGTTCTTCATCCATATGAATGCTGCGGATCCAAGATAAATCCCAATTGTGACCATTAAAACCGTCTTTAGCAGCGTCGTTTGTACTAGTCTCTGACTGTGGAGCCGAATCTTGGGTCGTTTCTTTGGAATCGATCAATTCAATTTTATTGTTATGACACTCTTGCATTTGCACGTTCATTTCTGGTTCTTTAATAACAAAATTCTCGACTATATCAGAATTATTCTCCGCCATGTACGTGGTATATGTATTAAGAACAGATTCAGGAATACTATCTACTAATTGGACTTCATCAGTCGGCATCGCCAGAGGAGTTGATGTAACTGGATATTGTTCAATGTAAATATTACTTCTGCTGTATAAATTTTGCGGATATTGACCATACATGATCATCTGTCCAGGATATTCGTTGTGATCAGAAAGTTCTGTAGTACTTGAAGCTTCAGTGTCCTCAAGACTTTCAGCTCTATCTTTCTTTTCCTTCATCCTTCTATTCTGGAACCAAATCTTAATGGTACGCTCGTTTAAATTTAATATCTCAGACAGTTCGATACGACGGCTGCGATCAAGATATCTATTCCTTGTATACTCATTTTCTAGTTCCATCATTTGAGAGCTAGTGAATGCTGTGCGAATCCGTTTTGGTTTCTTTACACCACCACTTAACGGCTTATTCCCGTTCAATGGCCTTGTTACTAAACGATTGCTGCTATTAGTTGCATTACTCCAAGTATTCAAAGTCCCAATAGTTCCTCGTGGACCCAAATACATAACTCCTGTATTTGGAAGAGCAGTTTGAGATGGCTCGTATCTAATTTCTTGTCCATAAATCGGATTCGGTGGACAAGTATTTATATAATTTGGATTATAAGTCATAGGGACGTTGCAAGAATTTACATTAGCACTTGGAATATCAGGTGCGTTGTAGATAGCACTGGTGTTGTTATAATTAATTTGATTAACTTTATATTGTGGTGGTTCTCCGGTTACAAAATTCTGCAAAAAAAAATACATGTATTAGTTTTATTTTATTATTATAGAAGATTGCTGAAAGAAAGTCTTTTCTTGGAATATTATACGATTATTCAAATGAATTACCGTCTCGTTCCGAGGTTGTAGATTATTGCTTGCTAGCCACTGGTCATCACTGGCATTACTAGGACTGAAAACTGGCTGAGCTGCATTCGAAATTGATGTTGAGACTGACATTTCGAAAATATTCTTAACCAATTGTTCCTTCGCAGTGTAAGTTGAGAAGGTTCAATTACTTTTAATTGCTTTGGTTAAAAAGTTTCCCTTATATATACCCCTACTACTCGTACCTTTAATTAGATTAAGGTTCACTTTAGCCGAGGTGACCATATTAGTTAATTAGGTGTTATTATTTAGAAGGTTTTGATTTTAAGTGCAAGTTTATATTGTTTTGGTTTATTATTATAAATTTAAAATGATATACATTCTATAGATAGTTTTAAATTAAAAATCATTATATTTATTTCATGTTTTGCATACATACTCACAGATACTTTCTGATATTACTTATTCCATATGTACAGTATATGTTTATATAAATTTGTGTCACTTAATCCTTTTTATGTTCAGGGTATTAGGACAAAAAAGTGATTTTATGATAGAATATCCTAGGGGGGGTCTGAAATGTTTGTTAGCTGTAATTTTTTTCACTTGGAAATTTTTAAAGGGTTTTAAGATTCTTTATAAATCTGTTCCTACATTTATGTACATATACATTTATCACAATATTTTGAATAAGTAAAATGAGAAGAGTATTTACTAGATAGATAGCAGATTATTATTGAATCTTGTAATAAAAAGCTGCTGTAATAATTATTTTTGTAAATATAATGCTCAGTTCAGTACAAAATCTTGAATTTTTCTGCACCAATAAAAAAAATATAACATTTATATACAATATTTAACGATCAATAATTATATATCATAAAGAATCTTTTTACTGTAATAGATGTTTAAATGTTTATGTTGCAATTGATAATTTATCTTTGGTTTTCATAATGATATAATTAGGCGTAGTTTGAGATGCGGTCAGCTTCCAAATTTACGTCTACTAAACATATAAATAACTTTATTATGTATTCTACTTTTCCTCTTAATGCTTCATGAATAGATTTTCTTTTCTTAAGCGCCCTCTAGCTTTACGCTTTCAAAATATCAAGCAACCTTTCAAAGTAAAATGAGTTTAGGTTCTCTCATGAACAATACATTGCATGACACTCCATTTATAAGCTACAAATAAATTAGTCCTTTCTTATTTAATGTTTTTTTTTTTAACTTAATAAAATATATTGAACTATACTATTTTAAAATTATTAAAATACTTATTCGTGAGCGTAGGTAGTTCCCAGAGCCTACAAGATGGCGCCAGAAGTATTGATGATAACGAATCTGAAGGTTTGTTGGGTTTTAGGATATTTTTCTTACTTTATAAAGAAAACGAATGTTCAACGAATGTTCAACAAAGATTTTTGAAGAATTTATAACAAATATCTATTTTGTAAAACAATTACAGGGTGTGGAGCTCTCATTAAATTATTTAGTTAAATATTCCAGTTAAGAATTAAATACATATCAAGAAGTAAATACAAAACAAGACTATACTTATGAGCCACAATGTAAAGCTTTATTATGTGAGATGTTTATACTTATTATTTAATATACTTGTTTCTTCTATAAATATGAATA